GATATAACAGCGAAATTTCAAGGCAGTCCAATATTCAGACTATGACGTGGGAACTGCTGGCTGATTTCAGCCAGATTTATATTAAGAACCAGCAACAGTGAGCAGGGAAGAAATAACTGAAAAAGTTAAATTTTGGCCCAAAAGGAACCACATGTAAAGTTGGGGCTGAAGGAGATGCGCTTGCAGAAGATATTAATGACATTAACAAGAAATCAAGTACTTTGCACTGGGATAAGAAGAGAGATGCATTTAGGCCATATTAGAAATTAATACAACCCATGTGTCACAGGATCAAAAGTTCAAAAGAATTAATCTTTCATTTGAGAAGAGTCCCTGGGACCCCATCTTAAGAAGGGCCTTCTAAGGAGTTGGTTTCCTAGGTTTCACAGCACTGTGCTCAGCCATCCAGGCATACAAAGGCTACAGTGACCATACTCCAAAGGAGCCTGACCACTGCTTGTGCTGGTGATAAACTTTTGCATTGTCCATGTGATGCTAGTTTTACAGGCATGCAGAAAACAAGTATTGTGGGATCATGGAGGTTTTCACCCAGATTTCAAGAGGAAGTCTGTGAGGAAAGGTAAGGTACCCCGGACAAAGATACTTAAGAGTGTGGAAATGAAACCAAAGTTACAATGGAAACTCTAGGAAGTTAAAAATGCCAGGAACAGGCTGGGGATATGGCTCAGTGACACAGCACCTGCCTGGCAATCACAAGGTCCTGAGTTTGATTCCCAGAATCAAAAAGAAGAAAGAAAGAAAATGAGAGAGAGAGAAGAAAAGAGAAAGGGAAAGAGAGAAAAGAAAAAGAAAGAGAAAGAGAAAAAGAGAAAGAGAAAGAGAAAGAGAAAGAGAAAGAGAAAGAGAAAGAGAAAGAGAAAGAGCATGCCAGGAACATAGAAGATCTTCAGAGGAAAGCCACAGGTAGTGATCATTGCCAGCCCAAGAGAGGGTATGTGAGCTGCAACCCACAAGGCCACAAGGTGGGTTCTCTCAAGTGCTCTAGAACTCACATCTTACCGCTATGTGCGCCAGGTGCCAGCTATGCAGCTACAGAACTTAACGTCCTTGGTTTCATTCTGTTCTTTTCTATCTCCTATTTTTCTCTTCTGTGATATTTTCCTTCAATGATTGCACATGGGGATTAAGTAACTCGCTCTTTAATTGTTACCAGTATTCACAGCTAAGAGTTTTTCTTGTGTCTCAGAGGAGACTTTGGAGTTGGATTTTTGAGATGAACTGGAACTTTTGAGACTTTGGGAAAGGAATTAGTGTGTTCTGGGTACACACAGGATAGTTACACCATGTAAGGCAGAATTATGACCTTGTTATTGTCTATATTAAGAGATAATGTTTTAAAATGTATTTGGGTGTCAAGGTGACAAACAGTAGAATATGACAGCTAAATTTACTTGTCCACTTTACTTGCTTGGGAGCTATTTAGGGAATTAGCATGGGTACATTTCTCCAAGTGCCTGGGTAAGTCATGGAGGTGTGACCTTGGAACTTATATCTGGTCCCTGGCCCTTTTATCTCTCATGGTATTTTCCTGCTGTGTGTCTAGGTCACCATGGTCTATCAGCGTGGCTCTGCCATGCTCTTCCACTGTGATGTTTCTGCCCTGGCACCAGCTAACCAAGAGACTGAATCTTCTGAAGCCAGAGTTAGATTAAACCTTTCCTCCTTTAAACTGTGGGTGTGAGTTATTTTTCCAGCCATAGGAAATCTGACCAGTGCAGTAACAGTCCCAGTTTCAGTGGCAAACCTTCTTCTAAGCCAATCAAAACAGAGCATTCACATTATGGCAGTTTTGGTCCTGAGCTTGGCATGTAACTCCAAGTTTGCCTGAACAGAAAAATAAGAATGACTTTCATATAAGCCTTCAATAGAGGTGTCAGATTTCTCCTCCTAGATGAGCAAAAATGAACAAGGAGTCCCAGTTGCCACTACCAGTCTCTGTGACCATGACAATGAGGACAATGTTCATGCACAGGGGATGATTAAAGAGAACTTGAGTCTTGGTTGATATCATTGAGGCATCAATACTACTGTGCCTCAAGCCCTTCCTACCTTCTGTCTCACAGCTAATCCAGTTTATAAACTGTAATTCCAGTTACTTAGGAGGCAGGAAAAGAAGGATCACAAATTTGAGACCAGTTTGGGCCACATAAGTTGAACTATCTCAGAAAAAAAGAGAGGAAAAGAGTTTACAGATGTGTTGTCTTTCACACTTTAAATGAGACTGCCTGTTCAGATGTGCACTTCTCTTTTTAAAAAATATGAGAGAGTGTACTCAAAATAACATGCTTTCTTATGGCTTATTTTGCTCATATTGCTATGCATCAAAAGAGCTTTGAATATATGTTTGACTTTGTAGCCACTTTGGAGAAGTATTGCTAGTCATCTAACAAAGCAGATAATGTGATATAGCCATTGTTTAAGATAACAGTAACATTATTACCAAGGACAGTGTAGATTTAAGATAGTAAAAACCTTCTTGTCCCACAAGCCAAAAATTACAATTTTATAGCAGTCATTACTCCCAACTTCTAGATCTGAAACAGAGCTAGAAAGGCTTTCTAGTTAATTTAAAACTAGCCTATATGTCAGAAGTATGTTTTTTAATTATATAGAAGCCCATAATAACCCAACCATTCTGCCCTTATTTTCCTAAACTACTTTAATACTTATTTCTTAGGCTTTGTGGGCTAAGGCATTTCTTACATATTTCTGTACATAATAATTCATCAGCTTTGCAACCTGATTCTTCGCATTAACAGATTAAAACTAATGTAAATGACTCTCAAGACGCATACTGAGGTATGGAAAAATTTCATCATTTCCTTCTACAAAATGAAAATTATTTTAATTCTTTTTTTCAACAGCTGCTTCATCTTTTTTATACATAGGAAAAATATGTGCAATTACTTCAAGTACAATCAAGTCATTTAACATAGCTTTGCCATCATTGTAGTTACAGGATATTTTAAAAACGAAAAAATCTCAAAGCACAGGTCCTGCTGTGCCCTAAAGCAATCAGTTTCCTTCATAATAACAGCCTGATGGGATTCAGCAAGCCAAGGAATAGTGAATAACCAGTCTAATCAGTAAACAGGAAAATGCTATACTCACCACAGAGTAAAGATTGACTATCATCTGTTGATTCTTTTGATAATCATTCAAAACAATAAATAGAAATGTAAGTATCTCTTTAAAAGAAAAATTACTTCATTTAGTGTGTTTGATTTTACTGTAAAGTGAGAAAATGATATATTATCTTGAACTATCCTGCAGTATTTTTCCATCAATAAAATCCACATGTAGCATTATTTTAATAATGCATGACCAAATTTACCCCATCACTTGACTATGTTAAGATAAACTGATTTTTGCAGTTGGTATTGATTGTATTTCTGGACTGATTATTCAATTTATTATTCCCTCATTATTTCTTCTTTAGTATTCATCTTACGAGGTTATTTCTTTCTGCATACGAGTCTGCATCAAAATAGTCCTCAAGTCTCAATTGTAGCCTCTCAAACGTTGGCCGTTCCTTAGGCTCCTCCTTCCAGCACTCCAGCATGATGTTGTAGAATTGCTGGGGACAGTTAGTTGGTTGAGGAAGTCGATAGTTTTGACGCAACATCTGGATTACTTCAGCACATGTCCTGCCTAAAATTATAGAATGGAACCAACAAAATACAAGAGGAAGATCAGAGTCCTCCATTCATAGATACCTATACCCCAGGTTACAAAACAAATTGATTTCCTTGGTGAACCTATGAGATCTGTCATTCCTTTCCAGAGACTAAACAAAATCCTTCAGCAAGTACTGTCTATAAGACTGCAATTCAAGAGAAAAAGGAGAAGGAAGCAATAAACCACCTCATTAATGCAAATTATCTTCATCAAATTTTATCTATCAAGTTCCCACAGGTCCCCAGTATGGCTAGCCTCATAAGTTTGCCCTCTAAAGCTGGAGAACGCAGTTAAAGTCATAACTAAGTAAGTGACCTGAGGCAGAAAGGCCCACTTCAGAACCAATTACTCACCACTATAAGGCATTTTGCCATAAGTAATGATTTCATAAAGAAGAATTCCAAATGACCACACATCAGACTTAATGCTAAATTTATTAGTCCGAATGGCTTCAGGGGCAGTCCATTTCACGGGTAGCTTTACTTCATCTTTTGGTTCATAGATGTTTTCATTATCTACCTGCTAATGCATTAAGGATTCAAGCCAAGTTAAAGCAAGTTTTTTGCTGTCCTCACTCACTTATAACCTGTTTCACATTAAAATTTACAGGGGAAATATTAAAAATTAGCTTAGATCAATTGATGATAATTACAGTAGCTAGTTCTGAATCTAACATATAAGACTGAAAAATCTATGGGAAGTCATTAATAAAATATGACCTGAGAACCTACTATGTGTCTAAAACACCACTGGAAGCAACATGCATTATTATATTATTATAAAGAAATTCATACATGATTCTTGCTTTATGTCTGGTCTTTAGCATATTTTTTAGAAAATGAAGTCATAGCTTCTCTGTTTTTTTACTTAACTGCTGGTATTGAAGAGATACTGACTTTGATAATTACCATGTCATCACTTGCTAATACCAAAATGTAGACTCTCAATCCTTTAAATTAATATATCACTTTATTGTCCTAATCAATTTACGAAAAAAAAAAAGATGATGAGCTCCTGAGGATCAAAAGAAAATTACCTGTTATGTTTTATGCCCCACATTCTTATATTCAGGGCACAACATGGTAATTTAAAGTTAAGTTCAGAGGTGTATACCTCATATTATGTCTTTATATTAACATCTTTTGGGTTGATATCACAAAATGAGTTGGGCAGGGGAACTGCAAAGCCAATAATTGCTGTAGAATTCTGAACGAGTAGATTAGTCTGACATATTGTGAACAAAGTCAGTAAAGTAATTACCCAAAGGCATGAGATCTTACACGAAGGCAGATAGGGTAACGCTACATAACTGTTTTCAGAGAAACAAAGGCAAAACAAATAGAGGCCTTGGGTACTCGTTGAAAAATAGAACATAAATTCAATCACAAACTTAATTACATACCTTTCAATCTAGTTGGTAATTGTTTTCTCTAGATTTTTGATAAATAGGAATAGGTAAATAGCTGCTTTTTAAGGTCTTGGTCTACTTGAAATGGTCCATGAACCACAGGATGTGAAGAAACATGTTTTAAAGAATTATGAAAGAATAAAGAATCTTTTGGTCTATTTATCTGTTAGGTTTTTAACCTACTAGAAAAACTAATTTAAAATGAAACTAATTTGAACCAAATTAAATCTACCTTAAAAACTCTTGCAAGTCCAAAGTCTGCTACTTTGTAGATATTGTGTTCACCAACGAGGACATTTCTGGCAGCCAGATCTCTGTGGATGTAGTTCTGGGACTCCAGGTAGGCCATTCCACAAGCCACCTGTGCCGCCATGTCTACTTGTTGAGCCAGATGGATTTTTGACCCAGCATCAACTAAGGAATAAGAGAAAATAGGAATGTGTTTTGGAAAATATTTGAACGACTGAAATTAATTCTGAGCATTTTGATTAATCCACTATTGATAGAATTGTCTGCTAAGATACTGATCATCAGAAAAAAGCAAAGGTATCATGTAATCCAAATATGGTTACAGTTATCAGAAAGAGTCCAGTTACTGCCATCCTTAGAAACTAAATTTCATATACTCATTTCTTTGTGGAATTTGTTCCTTGAGTGTTTCAGAATCTCTTTGAAGCATTACATAGTTTGTTTAAAATAGCAAATCAAAGAGTCACCCTAATTTCATGGCTGAACTGATGAAAATTCTTGTCTCTTCATCATATTTTTTCTTTAAAACCACCTTACTAATAAAAATTAAAGTTGTATAAGTAGTTATTAAATTTGTATATTGCAGTGTACCACCAAGCTTAATACACTTTTTAAAACACCCTTTTCTTAGCTTATTATTCTCAGAGCAGTTGCACACCTCTCCAGGTACAAACATACCTTTAATTGACAGGATTTCACTTCTCATCCCACCAAACTAAGAAAAAATTGATGTGGTACAATCACTTTAAACCATTAGCAAAAGTAGTGAACGGTACTTTGTAGAAACTTTCTGAAATGGGGTAAATATTTTGCATTGGCAAGTAGAAATATCAAAAAGACACCCAGGATTTGGAGATGGATTTATTTATGTTGACAGGCACTGATTGGGATCATTTCCAGAATATCAGGCTCTGATCTCTGGTGGTCTAGGGCTTATCTGAGATAAGCAAGCAGGAAGTACAGAGGCAGAATAGCTTGTCCATTGGGGATTGGCTTGTATAATGTGCATCATAGTGACCAGGTATACATCACAGTGACCAGCCATTTCTAAAAGACAGAAGAAACTGGGGCTGGAACACAGAATATTACCTAGGAAACTACAAACTGAAGTACACTGGCTGGTGTGGGGCATTTTCTGCTACAATGTTATTCCTGGGTGGTATCTTCAGATTTCTGGTGATTCGAAAAGCATCACATAAACCCATACTATTACCATCCCTTTTTGAATAACTCAAATATTACTACATAGACTCCATTAGACTTACGGTCATGAAGCATAGACACAAGCCTTAACTTGATGGGCAGCTATAGTATAGAGTTAAGAAGACTAGTTTGGAACTGGTATCAGACTTGAGACCAAAATTTTGCCTCATATTTCTATGTGACCTGCTCAAGCTACTTACCACAACTGTACCTCTCTTTCCTTACCCATATGGTGGTAATAGTAACTACCTTACAGTACTAGTTGTTAAAATGAGGGTCAAAATATGTTAATATACATTGAACACTTAAAACAGTATGTACTATCAAGCAGAACTCAGTATATCCTAGCTATTAACATCATCACTGCTTTTACAATGTTTAATCTGGATTGTCAACTCCAGGAAATTAGTAAAGCACATTCCTGGATGTGTCTGGCTGAGTCATAGGGGTGTGACACTGGGGGCTAAATCTAGTCCTCTCGGCTATCTCTCTGCTCCCTATTCTGGACACCATGAGGTGAGCACCTTTTCTCCACAGTGCCCTCCTGCCTGACATTTCTGTCTCAGGGCCAGCCAACCATCAACCAAGACCTCAGAAAATGTGAGTCAATATAAACTTCTCCTTTTTTATTTGTGGGCATAGATATTTTACTCAGCAATGTGAAAACAGGCCAGTAATACTCCTAAGCAAAATGAAGCAGTTGGGGACTTGTTGAACTAGACATATGTCTAAATTACCCAGTAGTAAGAAGTGGCTGAAAGGAGAGCTAAAGACACGGTCTAGGGCTTATCTGAGATGTTCATAGTTTATGAGCATCAGTTAAAATGTATAAAGCAGGTGAGACTTCTAGGACATAACAGATTCATGAGAAACATCAACATTTGAGGTGGGCAGAGGAAGATAAAACTGCAAAAATACCAAGGTTCAGTCTTATGAGAAGACTGTTATAACAGGTCAAAAGTCTTGAGAAAGAAAAAAAATACCACTGTAGTCAAATTCCACAAATAAGATAAGAACTACAAGGCATTTGTTAAATATATAATGAGTCATTGGTGACCACAGAGGCAGAAAGAGCATTTTTACCACAGATATTTATAAAGGATTGAGGGTAAAACAGGAGATGACACAGAGACAAAAATAGCCAATGGCAAACTACAAAACCCTGTCCAAAAAGGAAGAGAGCAGAGATCTGGCGCAGTACATTTAAAGTCCCAGCAATCATCATAAAATGCAGGTAGTGAATGGTTATGATAGGTAAAGTATTCAAGGATTTCTGGGGTGCTGGCCAAATTATAATTCTTGATTTGGGTACTGGCTACACAGTTGCTTATTTATTCACTTTATAATTACATGTTAAATTGTACTATGTTGGTCAGGTGTGGTGGTGAACACCTGTAATCCCAGCACTCATGAGGCTGAGACAGGAGGATTTCTGTGAGTTCAAGGCCTAACTAAATTACATAGCAAGACTCCGCCTCAAAACTAACTAACTAACTAACTAACCAACTAAATACATAAATCTATATGATTTAAGTACTGTCATCATACATACTATTTTTTCCAATGAAACATCAAAGTATTTTTTAAATGGGAAGGATTAAGGAGAGAATATATTTGTGCACACATTTATACAAACACTTTTTAAAGGCAAGTAGCACATTTAAATAGGATGAGGTGAAACTAACAGCTTACCAACCCTTTTGTCCTTTATTTTCTTTTGTCCTGAGTATACCACAAAAAGCTGCATTTCCCATCTACCCTTGCAGTTAAGTTGGCTATGTGCTAGGTAGCTTTCAATATAGTTCCAAGAATCACTGCTTACTGGTGTTCATGCCCTTTCCACATCCCCTTCCACTGGATGATCTGCAACCCGTGACTCACATTTAACAAATGGAATAAGGTAAACATGATAGGTAATCACATGCAAGATTACATTATAAAAACTGTGGCTTCATTTTATTGATGCTATGTACTTTACTGCTTTTTCACTCACTCACTTTATGAAGCAAGCTTCCATGTTACAAGCAGCTCTGTGTAGGAAAGAGTATAGAACCAACAGCCATCAGGGACCTGACTTAGACTAATCTAAGATCTCAGGAGGGAAAAGTATCCTAACAACAATCATATGAAGTTGTTCCACATCTTCAGGGCCATGATGGGGAAACTTTTAGAGACCTAGTGCCAAACTACAACTCAAAACCCACTTGTTTATCACAAAATGCCATCACTGCAATTAAACCGGAATACTGAGATTTCAGTTGAGAAAAAAACAACTCATACATTAACATCTTTTGTCTTAAAAGAAAAACACATGTGCCGTAGGTTCGCCTCCACCATAGTAGAGTCTTCAGATGATGGGTCACCCAGCAACTCTGTGGCTGCACCTGGACTCCCGAACACAGAAACTGTGAGATAATAAGCATCTGCTTCTTTCATCTACTGTTTGAAGTAGCATGTCATGTAGCGATAGGCAATCAACACAGGCTGATGTTAATGAGACAGAAGATTAGGGTATCGCAAACTGGTTGGTCAAGAGGGTGTGATCTGTCAGTCACAGAGATCCAGAAGACATGTGCACAAGCCCTACACCTGGGACCAATCAGAATGTTATTTTCAGTTCTTCCCCTGACAACCCAAGCAGATGTCTGGTAGGAAGGCCTAGATCTGACCTCAGCCTAAGGAGTGGGAGATACAAAGGACAGCTGCTCCTGAGCTCTTGGCCAGTGTGCTCTCTTTAACAGTGGTCTACTCTCATCCTGCAAAGTGTACTTCTTCTCCTACTTTTAACTGGCCCACACTAGCTCTGCGAAGCATGTTTTTCTCCCCACTTTTAATTAATGCAAAACCTCACTACTTTTTGTGTTTGTTTTATCCAATTACTTGTTCAGGACAAAAAGATCTTAGAAAAAAATCTCTGAAGGAGTCCTCAGAACTCAAGAACACAGGAATATATTTTGGTGGACCAAGCAGGAAAGTAATATTAGGAAAATAATGTAACATCAGTGCTATACGTAAATGTTGAAGATACGAACTGTGGAACCAGATTTCTACCTTGGGTAAGTCACTTACCCACTCTCCACTTCAGTGTCTTTACTGTAAAGCGGAGATGCCATAGTAGTACTTTCTTCACAAGAGGGTTATTAAAATGAGCTAAGTTAATATGTGCAAAGAACTTGGAAAAATGTCCATCATAAATTCAGCACTACAGTGTTTTTAAAGGGACATAAATACATATGTTCCTCTCTCACCACTATCCCTTATGGTTTACTTCCAATAAATTACCTGATTTGATATGCAGAACAACTATGTAAAGTATTATGTATTATTCTCCCTATTTTATAAATGTTTGCTACTCAGAGGAGTAGGTGATAAGAATTAGGGATTCACATCCAGGTATTTGAGGCTGAAATGTCAAGCTTTCTATCTAAGTCATATCTGCATGTGCCTCGTGGGTCCCTATAAGTCAAAGGATCATGAATAGACTTCCACGTACAGTGGTGCCTCATAAAACCTAATTTGTTTTACAATTTGGGGGAAGGTGGCTCTTTGTGTTTGTGGGGAGAAAATGACTGTAGTCATGTTTGTCATCCACTGCAGAGTTGTGAATGGAAACCAAATTTTGCAAATGCTTTTGTTTGCAAACTGAATGCTTTGCAAACAGAAGGATTCATGAACGAAGGCATTAGTGCAGGTATGTGTACAGCAAGGGTTATGTAGCTATGTTCAGTTAAAGGGCATCTCAGTGAAAATGAGAAACTTATCTACTTCAGTTCACTGATGTGAACTGTCTGTGAGAATGATGAACAACATGGTAGGACTTGATTTATAAACATAGAAAATAGGTAATGTTCTTTAAGAAGAGCTAAGTGCTTATATGTTAGATGTTCTATAAAAATTTATTGGAAAAAAAGCCCAGCCAAAGTAAAGAGAATAAAGAAATTTACTCTGTTAAATTTCAGTAAGAAATATCTGTCATCAATTACCCTTAGTTCTATAGATTTTTGACGATCTTCTCTCATTTTTGAGAAATTTATTACAAAAAATTCAGCTAATCTTAGGGGCTACAAAGTTTGTTATATAGTTTATTATATGTAATGTAGTTTCAAATATCAAATACAATATCTAATCTTATTACAGTTGCTATAAAAAGATTTTCACTGGCAAAACAATACTGGAGGAAATTGGATCATCCACATTTTTCTATCTTGAGGAGTGCAGTGGCCGGGGAAATGCCCAGGCAAGGCTCAGGTCATACATCTGTACAACTACCACTTCGTCTTACTGATGTTCTTCGTTCTGTTGCTGTTTCACTTGCTCAGTCTAATGAAGCAAGCTTCCAAGTTATAAGCATCCCTGTATAGGAAAGAACAAAAGGCATTCTCCAGCCAGCAACCACCAGCAACCTGACCTCCTCCATCCAACAGTTTAGGAGGAGCCACAGTTCAAACTGTCGTAAAGATTCATAGACCTGTGACAGTTTATATCCGCAGCAAAAACAATTTGTTTTCACTTACATTCTATCACTGAAGAGTTTTTCCGTTTAGTTATAGCTATCACGATGGGCTATTTAAAAGTGACCCAATCCATTTTGGACCATTTTATTGAATTTACAACTCTTGAGTAGGTAGGGATTGCATGTGGCAAATGTATATTCATTACTCCTCTTGGCTGCCTTGTTAAAGTTGCCCAGGATGGCCTAATCCAAAGAGTGGCAGGGTGGGCAAAAGAAATGCCAAGTGCAAAAGACTTGGGGCAAAAGCAGACCTACAAGGCAGGAAGAACAACAGAGAATGTCAGTGTGGTAACAGTGAGTGACCAAGAGGGAAGATGTAGGAAAAAGAGACCACCAATGAAAGGTAGAGCCAGGTCATGGGAGGCTTTAGGAGTTAAACAGAGAAAAGAAACCACAGGAGACTTTCAAGGTTTTACACTGAGGTGGAACAGTTTAATGCTCTGATTTACATTTTAACTGGATCTCTCCAGCTACTGTGTTAAGAAAAAACTAAAGAAGACAAGAATCAAAAAAACTGCGCTAGTGAAGATGCTGCTACAGAGCCCAAGCCAAAGTCTTGATGGCTTGAACCTGGGTTGGAGTTTCCTACTGAGAAAGGGGAAGCGGTGAACACACCTTAACATAGACTTGCTGGTCAGTTAAATACGGTGTGAGAAGTGGAAGTGACTCCAGGGTATTAGGCCTGAGTGCTGACATTCGCAAGGAAAGACAAGAACACAAATCTCTGAACATTAAAACAGAAGCCCTAAATCTGCTGGAAGACCGAATAGGTAGAACTCTGGAAGATGAGGCAAAGACTTTATGAACAAAGCCCTGATTGCACAGGAACTATCACAAAGAATCAACAACTGGGATCTCATTTCACTGAAAAGCATTTGCACAACAAAAGAAATCACCAACAGAGTAAAAAGACAACCTACAGAGTGAGAAAAATTTATGTCATCTCTTCTTAGGACTAATATCTAGAACACATAAAGACCTGAAAAATATCAGACCATCAAATTCAAAGACACAATCCAAAAATGGGTATCTAAGATGAATAGGCATTTCTCAGAAGTACAAACAACAAATAAATATATGAAGAAAACATTCAACATCACTGGTCATTCAAGAACTGTGAATTAGAACAACACTGAGAGTCCATTTCACTCCAGAAATAGTAGCTATTATCAAGAAAGCAACTAATAACAAATGCTGGTGGAAAAAGAACCCTTCTCTGCTGTTGATGGGAGTGAAGGTTGGTGCAACTACTGTGCAAATCAGTACAGAGATTCCTCCAAAAATCAGGATTAGCAGTCCCATTTGACCCAGCTCCCCACTTCTGGGCATCTTCTCAGAAGAACTGAAAGCACCATACCACAGCCATATATGTGCACCCATGTTTATACAGCACAGTTAGTAATAGCTAAATCTTGGAGGCACTCCAAATGCCCATCAACCAATGGATTTTCTTATATATTGGAATACTTCTCTGCTATAAAAAAAGATATAAAATTGAGACATTTATAGCTAAAAAGATGGACCTTGAGACCATAATCATAAGTGAAATAAATCAGACCCACATGTGTAAATATTGCATTATCTCTCTGGTGTGAGAAACTGAAAATGTAAAGGAGAACATTAACGTACAATAGATATTGTGAAATAGGAAGGAACTGTTCAAAAGGAAAAGGAAAATAGGAATGAGAAGAAAGGAAGGAAGGGAAAGAAAAAATGAGAAGAGCAGGATAAAAATGCAAACCAAGCTTTGTGAAAGGATAGGGAAAGGGGTTTGAAAAAAGGGGAGAGGAATAGGGGAAAAAACAGAAAGAGGAACCAAGATATAGCATGTACAGATACAAATTTCCTACCATGAATGTTGTCATTATGTATACCTAAATTGTACCAATAAGCTTGAATAAAAAAGAAAAGGAAAAAATAAATGAAATGAAAAAGAAAAGCATGCAGATCACTGGGGAGAATACAAGACCATTTTTGCACATGGCGTTTTCACACGTCTGACCAGGCATATCGGGAGAACTTACTGTTTTATCCAAAAATTTTTTCTCCTCTCAAGTACTGTAAAGGATTCTTTTTTCCCACATCATTTAACCTGATTTGACTGAATGAAAGGGGCACAGAGATGACTTCTATCACTGCTAGTTAAAAGCTTTGAAAGCCAGAGTGAGATCAGTCCCATTTCTTTGCCTCCCAGAGTGACCAAAGAGGCCAAGTCATCAGCAAGTCCACTTTGCACACAAAGCATGAGGAAGAAAAACATACACTGTGTGAAGCTTCTGAGATTTCAGGAGTGTGGCTGCACTAGATTTATGTTAATCAGCATTCACATGCAGAGGTCAAGAAGGTAGGTGGGTATATTATTCTGAAACAAGGAAGTGAAAAAATTTGGGACTCATCAGTACATAAACATTTAAACAACAGCACTGAATAAGATTAGCAAGGAAACTATAGCACTGTAAAGAGTCCTGGAAAACTTCAAAATTTTGAGAAGTCTAGGATATGTGAAAAATCCTGTAGATGGAAAAAAATAACAAAGGAGGAGGAAGTCATTGAGTGAGTGTCTTGGCAGCCAAATAAGCTAAATGTACTAGACACCCTGGCACATCTGAACACTGGGAATTGTTACATACAACCCAAAGTCACTCATTGACTTTATCCCGGAACTAAGGAAAGAGGAGCCAATGGCCAATTCTGGTGGGTAACATATTCTGAGGCTGTTAAGTGTAATATCCATATACAAGGCAGTTAAGTATATTTTTGTTTTCAACAGCATTTAATACACCATATGATGCCCTCCATCCTTCTCATTTTGTTTTGTAATTTAGAATTACCAGGCTCATGAGTCACTTTGAATCAGAGAATACTTTTCCTTCTGAAGTCATTGTACTGTTACTCTCACCTCCCTACTTTTATATATTTTATCAATCTCACTCTGACATTTTAAGACACTATAGAAAAAATCCATTTTCCAATCATGTATTATTTTCTCAGTACTTGATCTCAACTTCTTTGAACAGCTCATTTTAATGCTTATTATTTTATTCTTTGTTGAATTATTCTTTTGTAATGAATATCAGAATTTCACAGGACCTTAATGCCCTGAAGTCGTCTTTGTCCACAGAAATCAGATGAAGGAGTAAAGCAATAGCACATTTCTAGATTTTTGTCTAAAAATTCTAATGTTGCCTAGCAGTGGAAGTATTTTTAACACTAATAAGCACAGTACTATTAATGCTGAAACAAATCGAGGCTACTTTCTCCAAAAGCATGCCATACCCCCAAATTCTCTACCTCAGAAAAATACTGGTCCATGAATGACCATGTTCAGTTAGTTTCTGCAGAAAACAGAGCATCATGCAAAATAATCATTCATCAGTTCTCACATTACATTTAAGTACCCTGGTATGCTTATTGTGCACAACCTGCTCTTCACTACACAAATATCTTCCCTCCCTTTGAGTGTGCAGAATATACCATATTAAGTAGTAGTTGAGCCACTCAATGCTACAACATTCATTCTTACAGATATATACTCAGTAAATATCTGCTGGATTAGAGAAGGCTTGCTAAATTGACCTTTACAGGACTAGCTAACCTAAATTCCTCCTATTTTTTTCTATTTATTATCTTTAGCTTACTTTGGAGATACTCTTGCAGACTTCCATGTCTCATCAATTCTGTAATAATATAAATTGGATCTTCTAAAGTGCAAACAGCATACAGCTGGATGAGCTTTGGATGCCTCAGACTCTTCATTATCTGCGCCTCCCTCAGGAAGTCATTTGGATCCATTGAACCTGAAACAAGAAGAGGAGGAAATCACTTTGTGTTATTGAGGCGTTGCTCTCCTCACAGAAGCCTGGTAGGAATCACCCAGATTGCGTCCTGCCTCTCAGTAATGTAAGAGCATCAGTGTCAGAAGTCTTCAAAGTTATCAAAGAATAGAATCAATTTAGCCGGGGCAAACTAATTACCAGATGTGCTGTTGTAGAAGGGGTGTGCAGGTCATGTGTTATGGCCTGTAGGTGAAGAGCAGTTGATTCAGGTCCACAAGAAAAATGAACAGAAAAGGAACTGACGGTCTAATTGATAAAACAAGGCAGGCAACTTAAGAACACAAAGAGAAAGCATCCTATTAGTATGAACACTGGAAGACACTGAATGTTTAATTATTCCAGCCAACACTAAGACTGACCAGCTCCATTTGTGGTGCCCACTGTGGGGACAGCTGAAAAACAACCCTAAAACAATGACATTCCATAGGAAAATTAAAAACAGGTCAAACAGAAAACATTCAAGGGCCATTCCCAAAAGTAAGGTTTTTCTTACATCAGTTTTATGTGTTTAACATGAAACTAATATTCAACATTTTCTTCTGTATTCTCAGCTTCTGCTATCAGAGCCTTAGAAGGGAATGATAACCAAATGATAAGGGAGACTCTCAGGGCCTATTTCAAGGGCTGATTTAGAAGTAAATCCTATTTAAGTAGTTCAACTCTGACTCACCATTCAAAGTCCCAGGTAGTTAACATCAAAGAACATCTAAAAGGGAAGCTTAAATTTCATCAGTAATTTTAAAATCCTTTTTTTAGAATGTGATGTTTCAGAGACATTACTGTGACTGAAGAAATAGTGCCATCTCATGTTTTAGTATTCGCTGAGCACAGTGCAAATGTCATTTCCACTGATGCTCAGAGACCATTTAGTCATCATCCTCTCCATGTAGGAGTCTTCACATCTGATACTAAACTCAGGCATAGATGCACTTTGACAGTCGAAGGCAGTGCTGTGATTTGTTCGTTAACATGAAGTTAAGAAAATGTAGTCAAAAACACTAAGGTAGTCTGCCGTGTGTGTGAGTCTGGAAGTTCAACACATAGGTCCAATCACACTCTGGATTCTAGACAAATTTCAGCTCTGCTATTAGCACTTGTATGATTTGAGCAGTTACCAAACCTCTCTGAACTTCAATCTTTTCGTCTGGAAAGTGCGGCTAATAGTCCTACTGTCATCCCACAATTGTTATCTGGATAACAGCAACACCTGGCACATATGTATTCAATGGCTGCGGACTATTATTTGCAATTCTAATATGCCTACTTTTGGGAAACCAAACAGTCTGACTGTGTTTTTTCATTGACTGTGGAGAAGGAGCAAGGTCTTAAACGGGAAACAAAACCAGCCTCTTCTATTTTCTACCATGTTCTCCTGAGCTCCTTCAATTCCAACTCTGCTATTGGTTTGCTCCACATAATCAAATCGTATTAACAGTTGGAGTCACAGTAGAAAAGTGTAGCTGACCAAAAAGAGGCATCTAAAGCATAAGAAAGTACTTTGTTCTTGGCTGCCTAGCATATGATCAAATATGGATATAGAAGATGTCCCCTTTTCAAAACTGTGATTGATGAACTTTCAGTGACAGCAGTAATTATGATCACCATTCAGATAATTTATGCAGGATGCACACATCACTCCCAAGTCAAACCATCCACAGACGATCCACAGACTATCCACAGACTATTCACACACTGTCCACACACTATCCACAGACCATCCACAGACTATCCACAGACCATCCACAGACCATCCATAGACCATCCACAGACTATCCACACACTATCCACAGACTATCCACACACTGTCCACACACTATCCTCACACTGTCCACAGACCATCCACAGACTATCCACAGACTATCCACAGACATCCACAGACTATCCACAGACTACCCACACACTATCCACAGACTATCCAGAGACTATCCACAGACTATCCACAGACTATCCACAGGAGCTGAAACAGTGATGTGTCAGAAGGCCGTGCAGGTCAAAGTGTTCCAAGCACTCCTTTTGGCTCTAGTGGTTGTAGCTGACCAACTGCATGGAAAGAGAGACCCGCTAGTAATACAACATTAAATATTAATTTTTGCCTGTCAGAGCTACTAGGGGAGTCGATTTCATGTCATCATTATTGCATGATAGTCTGCAAAGCAAAATAGCTGCTAAGGTTGATTGACGGCTGCAGTGAAGTGAAGACATTTAACCAATCTGCAAAGATGTTTGCTGCTATTAAACTGTAAATCAATAATTGTTGGAAAGAAAACTATTGGCGCTTTTTAGTGTAAGAAATATGATTTCTGTTCTTTTTCAACGTCTAGGAGGCCTTCCTTAGAGAGCAATTGTTAGAAAGGAGAGCTCTCCACTGCTTTTGGAAAAACAGTGATTATGTTGAACAAAAATTTAGTCTCAATTGCCAACCAGTTTAGGATATAGACAGATAGATATAGATATAGATAGATACTTTGATAGATATATTTATATATATATATATATATGTTGAGTGTGAAAATCTCAGGTGCTGACTACACAGATCATCCACACCTAGAATGCTTATGTGGCATCTGGCTTCTTAAAAATGTTTCTGTATTGTTTCACCTGGCAGACATGAACACTGGAACTGAACTGCTGCACTAGTGAATTTGCATTTTAGTGGGTGCATCTGTTGGTAGCCCCATGGAAGCTCAATTTATTAAGAACTCCTGCAGATACTTTATGCACATTGACTAAATCTATCCTCATAAAAATCCTATAAAGTAAGAACCATTAAAATTTGCATTTCCATGTAAGAGGATTCAGAAAGGTTAATAATTTGTTCAAAGTCACAGAGGACAGGGCCATGTGTGAATTCAGGTTTATGTTGCACCAGACTATGTTCTTAATTGCTCTACCACAAGATTGTGACATTTCCAGCTCATGGTACCACTACTTTCTCAGCAGTTTTTTTTTTTTTCATACTCCATTACTTGGTTATATCCCAACCAGAATTTATCCTTTAAAGCCTTTGAAAAGGTAGTACAGGTAAGTTTCATTCTTAACCTCAATTCCTTGTTAAAGTGATAAAAGTACCTATTGGGTACTATACAACTTCTCAAATCTTGGAATTAGATTGAGCATGGCTACCCTCATTTCCAGGTCCATGTTGATTTTTGGTACATCCTGCAGTTCATCACAACAATCATCAAAAATCCAGCTTCATAAAAATAGGATGTCAACAAAAGGAATGTGACATGGTCTAAAGCTAAAGCAGCAAGCTACTCGAAAGTAGCAATTTGTGTCATATCCAAGATGTTTACCTCACAACTCTTACATATCCCAGAGGCCCCCTGTGAGTTCACTGTGGTGCCCCAATGTGCCTTGGCACATGGTTTGGGAACCATGATGTCGCACTTGCTTCCGGCCAGCTTACGTTCTGCCACTAGTGGAATTTCTAAGAATTCTGGCCTTAGTAAATAATGGAAATCCTGTAGAGAAGTCTACTGGCCTATGCTTACTATTCTTAACCATATCATTTGAAGAAGATATGAAGCTGCCACAGTAAAGCCACATTTTTACAGAATGTCTCTTCCAAGGGGTCTGACACAATAGATATGGGTTAAAATCTCAGTTTTGGCATTTACTAAATTTTTAATGATAATAACGTTTTGCTTTGGTCACTTACTGTGAACCAGGTAGTATGCAAAGCATTTTTACTAATGACTTGATTTATCTTCATAATAACTTTACTAACTTGGCCTTATTAATGTTTCTCCTTTACAAGTAACAAAACTGAAGCAAGGAGTAGTTCAAATATTTGATCAAGAGTATATGCAGAGTAAAGCTCAGGAAAGTTACTTAATCCCTCTGAGTTCTTTTACTCCACATTTATCACGGAGGGAATAACAGTTGGGTGACTGAATGTTGATTTTATTATATTTTTCCTTGTTACCACAGAGACAATTTCTGTTTTTTCAAATATGAGTTCTTTTAGATGGACCATTTTACCTTTTAACCATATACAATTTAGTGTTTAAAAATAGATATGCTCTGAATAGCACCAAGTTTCCATTTGAGTTTTTAAAGTGTTTTTAGTAAATTTTTAACCAAGGCCACAAGCAAAAGAGATGAATAGCAATGGGACACAGAATCCTTAGTTTAGAGAAGAAATGCATGATTAGACGCATCCTTGAACTCTTGAATGAGGGAGATGATGTGGTTCAGATCAGCTGAACCACAACTAGAGAGCATATTCCAGCCTTTATATTTTAGAGCTTCACCACAGGTTATGGTCACCTGGGGTGGAGAGAATGCTGACAACACCTGCTTGCTGCCATCAGTGGCTGCCCTACCATCTCTTTGGTGTTTGTAGTGGAAAACTGTGCTCAGAAAATCAGTATATTCTGTTAATCTTTGATTTTCTCTCACCTGGTTTTAATGTTTTCACAGCTACCGAAGTGGTGTTATTCCAAAGGCCTTCCCAGACTTCACCAAACTGACCAGATCCCAGTCGCTTCAGAAGCTGAATGGAACTGCGGTCTATCTCCCAGTGGTCCACAGTTTTATAGGACAAATCAAAAGTAGTAGGGACCTGTACCTGTTTGACAGAATAATGAGAATACTCGTAAAAAAGAGAAAAGGTAGATTTAACATTTTTGTTGAAATTAAGAGTCTAGGTACCCTTTGGGGGGAAATATTGCTTTTAAAAACAAAATACTAGAAATTATAGTCTAATTACTTTAAAATGTAAAACAATAGTGAGAGACTCTCCACTGCTAACTCATTAAGCTGATCTGCTCACAAATCATGTGCCTTGATGTCTCTCTGTCCCATACTATACCAGTGCTACCCTCAGACAGTTCTGCAGTGACTTCTCTTTGCCTCCCACCTTCGCCAAAGCCCCACCTCCAATTTCCAGACCCAGCTGAAGTACCTCTCGTTCACAAGCCCTCCTGGACTATAGTATGTATTATATGTATCATATTATTTTTGCAAAATAAAATTCTTTCAAATTCATTTTTCATTTCTTTATTTGTTCATTCATTCATTTATACCTTCTGTGGTAAATAAATATTTAAGCATCATCTAGTGTACATTTTTAAAAGGCAAGGCAAGGCCCCTGCCTTCCTGACCACATAGTCAGGGTTATCGTCCATCATACTGTTTCTGTCACAGCCACCAAAGGCCACCATAATGGCCCAAAACCACCAAACAATGTTACTAAATGAGGACTGTATGTCTCTTCCAATAAAATTTATATTAAAAAATGAATATAGGACAGTATTAACCCATGGGTAATAGTTTTCCCATTTCTGCCTTAAATCAAATGATAACTTTTCTTCCTGAGCTGACATCACATGACAAATAAATATTTGAAAGGAAAAGATAACTTCAAAATAAATGAAGGGGCTGGGGATTTAGCTCAGCGGCAAAAGCGCCTGCCTGGCAAGCGCAAGGTCGTGAGTTCGGTTCCTGGTACCGGAGAAAAACAAAAACAAAAACAAAAACAAAAACAAACAAACAAAATAAATGAACACAGCTTGGACAAAGCTCACCTTTAAGCATGGTTTTCCGAGCCTGACACACAGGCCATCTCTTGTTGTGGAGTAATACCTCACAAACTCATTCAAAGTCGAAAATGTTTTTTTCTGGGTAAGAAAAAAGTCTCCTTCATCCAGTCTTTTGATTCTGTAGTGTTTTACAGCTCGTTCATCTAAAACTGAAACCCAAACAAGTCCTGTTAATAAACTTATTGCCAGAGCCAAGCAGATTTATTTACTTTACGGTGATTTTTCAATACATGGAGTAAAATTTTCACAAAATTCTATATATTTCTCCACATTTTCTCAGAAAAGCCCAAAGGAAGTTGATAAAAGATACATAGTCAAAAAAAAAAAAAAAGAAGAAGAAGAAAGAAAAGGAGCTGGGAATGTGGTACTGAAGGGAACATGAGCTAACGATAAAGGAGTGAGGGTAGCACTAAAGCTCTCCATGCCTGGAAGCCTGATAGACTTAAACAAGCTGCTGAATTGCCTCTGTCACTCCAGCAGTGCAATGAAGGAACCATCATCCATTTCAGGAGTCACAGTGCCTGCAAATTGAAACTCCAAAGGTATCGGAAAAGTGAGCCTCTCCCTGGTGTTTTTCCCCATGGAATCTGACAACACAGGGACTGAAGCACAGTGTGCCCTCGGGACTGTCTCCAGCAGCAGTAGGCATTCCTCAGCCTGTTCTTCACACTGCCTTCAATGCAGCGTGATACAGAACGTCCTACCATAGTTCAGTACAAGCAATTCCATGGGGCCTCAAATGGCGCAGTGCTCCTGTGCAACTTTCTTGCCAGATTGCTTAACCGAATTTTGCAGGATCTGTAGGAATAAATAGGCTGCATCGCTTTTAAGTAGTCGGATTTTTAGGAGGTACTTCGTTACATTTGCCGGCCACCAATTGTCTCTCCTGTTACTAGCACTCTAGTTTTCTTCAGAGGGTCACTGCTCACAGGTAGAAGCGTGTGATGCAAAGGTACCTGCTGGACACCTGGAGCTGAGAAGAGCACAAACAGGGCAGTCATAGCCAAGAGTGTTTGGGAAGCCCCAGAAAGACGGGAAGAGTTTTGCTGCCCCTGTTATTTGTGCTTTGTTTTAGTTTTCATTTTTATTGCTGCAAGTTTGGAGCACTGATCAAATCCTCCCCCAGCCAGCAGAAATCTCACCTGAGAGGCAGCCCGGGAAAGTAGTCTTAATTTGAAGAGCAAAGCTCAGTCCCTTAAGCCAGGAAAGCCTGGCTTTCCAACAAAAGGACTTGATTACTTTTTACTTAAATTAGTTTGAATTGGGTTTTCTGCACTTGCATCTAAACTATTAATTAATACAACTTATACTCTTCCTTCACCTAACAAAATTATCAATAAGTATTGAACAAGATTTACCACAAATACAGTGATTTCATCACTGTCTTGTTGCTGAAAGCAATACCTGACACCCACAATTTAAAGGAAGAGAGGTTTATTTTGGCTCATAACTTCAGAGGGTTTAGTCCACAGCCAGCTGGTTCCCATGGAAAAGGCATGGTGGAAAGGTGCGCCATGGGGAAAAATGCTCATATTATCTATTGTGGCCAGGAAGTAGAAAGAAAGGGAAGAGCCAGGGAAGCAGGTACCGTGGACCACTCCTTCCGACCAAGAAGCCCCAGTGACCCACCTTTCTGACCAAGCTCCTCATCTTAACAACATATTTAGCTATGGGTTTATCTGTGAATTAATCCACATGGGACATTTTAGAGACATTGCAGCTCTAAACCATACAGCTATTCTGAATTTCCTCTAAATATAAAACCTTCAATAACCAGTCAAGCTGGAGTCATGGGCTCACAAAAAGAAATAAGGCTGGGTAAAAGACATCCAGCCCCAGGAGGGAAGTATACTAAAGCCATGTCAATGGCTAGGATAAGATTTTTTTAAAAAACACCGTTGGTACATATCATATTATCTACAATGAAGGAAAAATACATTATCAAGCATTGTCAAGGAAGTAGAATAACTTCTCATACATGGTCTGTCACAGTGTGCAACCATGGCTATGTAAAAGATGAAAAAGATTCCTCAGAGATGAAACTTCAGTTCAGTCACTGAGAGGACCCAGAAGGGGTCAGCATAAGAGAGCTTTGGGGAAACAGCAGTAAGCTGAGACTTCTGGAGTTATTTACTTACAACTCAAAGACATGAGAACAAAGACAGAGGAAAAGCATTTGCCACATATGGTATAGGAGTTTTGGTCAGGGGACAGGGCCGGAATGGGATGGTTTGTTGAGTGACACAAATCAACTGAGTTTAAGCAATTAGAGTGGGATAGAAGGGACACAATGACCAAAGCAAACATTTCTGCAAAAACCTCTTTTAGTTCTGCTGACTACTATCCTCCAGCTCTAAACTCTAGCCAGGTGTTTCAGGGGTCCTGAGTTGTCCCGGAAGTCTTTTCCTTTTTTGCATTCTCTTCAAACACTCCTTTTGCCAGGGGCTGCCCACAATAGTCAATGGAAGTGTAATTTTTACAATGACTTTTTAAAGTGGTTATTGTCTACTAAAGTTGAACACAGCAATACATAATATAGTATAATACATGCATAGTACTATACTCTAGCTATAATATACTATGTACTATGGTATATACTGTAACACAATATGGTAATTCCAATTATAAAACCAACAAAAATGCTCAGCATATTCACATAAGTAAATAATGGTTTCAGTAGCATTACTTATAAGAGTTTAAATCTGAAAAGAATTGAAATGTTCATCAACTAATAAATGACAAATAACTAATAAATTCTTATATATTTATCCAGTAGAATACAATACTTATTTGTAAATACACAAACTACAGCTACACGTAACAATGTGAATGAATCTCACAAACACAAAAATATGGTTTCATTATTAAGAAGCTTAAAAACAAACAAAACAGCTGGTTTGAGGAGTAAGACTGTGACTGGAGTGTTAACAATATTCCGTTTTATGATTGGATGTTGGGTGTAAGGGTATATTCATTGTGTGAACATTCATCAAACAAAATGATTGTACATTTTGTACTTCTGTTGTCTGTGAGGAAGTATCAGTTAAAAGGCTAGTTTAAAAAGTGGTTATTTTCTCCTGTTCATGAACAAGTGCCCAAACTACTACATTATGGGATGGGATAAAATATTAAATCTAGAAAGTTAAAGTAAATGTCACCTAATTTTCACCTGATGTGTAAAAATTGTCAGTAAAGTACTCATAAAACATTAACCTTAGGCAAATATATTTTCTAGTAAACATGAGAAACTCAATTACAAAATTCCCACCTCAACTCTAAATGGTTGGTTTCAGGTACAGGGATATTTGCTATAAGCCAGGAAAAAAAATGCAGAAGAAAAAAGTGAGGACCATAAAAATGCAATTCTAAATCTGAAGGTAACCTTTCTATAATCTCAACAACAATAATAAAACCAATACAACAAACAAGCATAACTAAGAATTTCATTGCGTACCTCATTTTCTTTCCAAAACCCTTTAAATTTGTATTCAGTGAGGAATGCACACTTTGGCCCTCAGTTAATGGTATCTCCAGCCAAGCTTTTCTGCTCACTTTTAGGTATCAAACAGTTCTACTTTCACTTATAATCACAAAAACAGTCTCAATTCAAATTTAGCATGCCCAGTTCAAAAACAGTAACCAAAGCACTTTACTCCTTGATCAAACATCCAGTTTTCTCCCCTTCCACAGCCCAGGTCTGCTTCAGGCTGGAAAGCAGCTGCAGCTTAGCCCTGTAAGAACTGTTATGAGTGGTATTCCCTTTGTTTCTTCACCTAGAGGTGCTCCCTGCCATTCCCTTTGCCTACTTAGTTCTGAGTATCCCGGTTCTGAGTTTTCTTTCTTTGGGAGCTCATCTACAGCAGTCTCCTCAAGAGGTCTTCCTCATCCTCTGGCAAAAGCCTACTTGGGTAGAACCCAGAAGTCCTCCAAGCCATCTATCTGTGGTGCACTGGTGCATTTGCTCCTGCAGGAAGCCAACTTACCTTCCTGAGGATATACCTTAGGCTTAGAAGATGAGACAGACTTGTCCTTGATTATCACTACTGGGAGGAGAGGCTGGTGGCCACAACTTCTATCTTGCTGCTACAGCAGTGTCAGCCTTCTTAGTTGTATTTTATCCTCCCAGATGCAGGGAGCAGCGGCAAGGGGCCTTCCTGAATCTCCCTCCCACTGGGTTTTGGGGTCCCACTCATCATCCTGGGAAGAAAGGGGGACTCATAGTATATGCATGGCTATCTCCAAAAGCAAACTGCCTCGCCAAATCCTTCCTTTCTTCCATTTCTTATTCCCCTTTAAATCCTTAACAAACTGAAAGCAGCACTACCTCTCTGACAAAGTTCTGTATAAATTCTGGGTGTGGGGATTTGGTTTTGTTGTTTTGTTGCTATTTTTATTTGATAGCTTCAGTCAAATACTCTCTGCCAGCATTCAGTTATAACTACAGTAATAGAAATGGGCACTGCGCTAAATACTACTTTACATTATCTTGTTGAATCTTCTTAGACATGAAAGGTACATATTATTGAACTCATTTTGTTACTCATAAAAGTAAGAGGTGGCATAGCCAGGATTCAAACCCAGGGCCTTGTGACTATAAGAATCTCTGTAACCAGTAGCTTGTTCTTGTTGGTTTTGTTTTCATAGCACCACGGTTGAACCCATAACATTCACACTGAGCTACATTCCCAGATCTTTATTTTGAGAAAGGTTCTTGCCAAATTGCTAAGTTGCCTGGCTGGTCTTGATCTTGCAATTCCCCTGTCTCAGCTTCCTGAGAGTCTAGGACTGAAGGCACGAGCCAGCTCCTCAGGAACCAGTGGGTTCAGACAGTATTTCCAGCTGTCTAAGACACTGCCAGTTCTGGACAATAAAATTGTACCAAGTGCATATGAGAAAATGTTTTGCTTTCAGTTCTTTTTATTAAAATAAAGAGGACAAGTGTAAATTTAGCTCCCACAAAAAGAATATCATTTCTTAAATTATAGTTTTTTAGTGTCTGGAACTTTCTTCTATACTGACCTGTTAAGTTACCAATCCCACCATTAGTCTTGGGGCAAGCTGAACTGCCCTGTATAATCATCAACAATTAGAAGGCTTTTACCAGATACTACGGAGCTTAGCTCATAATAGATTTTGGTATATAGATTAA